GGACGAAGGGCGGGAGAGGGTGGTCGGAACGTCGGAAGAAAGAGTGAATGGGAGCACTGTGCGCCAGATGGCTTGGTGGCGTCGCCGCATCTCGACGCCGCACTGCCTACGTCCGATTCGGTTCCGTTGCTATTTCATAATAACCGGGAGAGGCTCTTGGAGAGCGGCTCTCGGCCGCATAACACGAGAGGCACCACTGACGATAACTGTCATGCGACTGACCCCTGACAATCCGTAGCGTTTTATGGACTCGGCGGAGTTTATCACCGCGAGATTCTTTTTCGTTGAAGTCTGAGGGAATCGGGAGGAGCGTGGGCTTCGTTTATTCCTCGGCGATATAGAAAATCCCGAGATTATAGCGACGTCCTGACGGTGAACAATGAAATAAAGAAGGGAACGGCACGAATAACTGTAAAATTGACTGTTATTTTTCAAGCATTTGAACAGCACCTACAAGCAATAAAATGACGGATTAAAAATAAACAATTTTATATAATTTATGTAATAAAATATGTTATAGCTCGGATAAATAGAGAGCTGCTTGTAATTAAAGACATAAATAAATAAAATCTGATGATATTTTTATGAATTTAGATACGGATTTAAATATCTGAATTTAAATATGAATTTAAATGTCTGAATATAATATGGGAGTGAATTGCATCCTGCAGAAGTCAACCAACGAGATGCACAGGACTGCATGTCAATGATCATGTTGAATAGGATGCAGTTGATCCGGAGAACGGACCGTCTGTCCGATATTCAAAAGCTGACCGGATGAGACCTATACAAGGACTCAAAACAACCGGAAATTCTCGCGTCTCATACAAATATGATAGTACGTGGGTCCAAACGGACCGGCCGGAAGAGATGAGAGTCGATAACCGTAGAAACGATTCAATATCGAAGCGTATGTTTCCGTATCAGATACTGGAAATTTCCAATTTAAAATAAAAAAGAATCGGATAGTTTGAAGATAATGATTAAGATTAGGGAAAAGAAAATTACTAAGACGCATCAAAATGCGGATATCTTGATATCAATATCGCTAACTAATCAATCTATATTTTTAATTTATGCTATAAATTATATTTTTAATTAATTCGTGTAATCTAGCTTGCTATAATTTATATTTATGTAGAAAAAATTTTTTTAGAACGTTTCACGTTAGCTCTTTTTCTTTCTCTTCTTGTAATGAACAAAACATTACAGCATTATAGAAAAAAAAATAATATAGATCTTTGATTAAAAGTAATTAAACTAGTGTCTTGAAGTATACGTTTTATCCCGAACAATCGGATCGAACGCGCATCACGCGTAATGCACATGGTGCATCGACATGACGCGACGACGGTCAGCGTACCGTGTCTCGCGCACATGTGAGCGCCGACTTCGTACACGCACACGTGTGAACCGGATCGTTGAAACGCGTAAACGATTGTAATACACGGTGCAGTAGCGTACGTGTTACGGCGTATTATGAGTTAAACAACGTAATAATAGCCACGGCGCCAGTACCATGGCATATCTGCGTCTGTGGACTTACGTATCGGGTGTCAGGAAGAATAATGCAGTCATAATCCATTCGATTGGATTTTTAAAAAGTATTATTATTCATTAATTTAAGTATAAATGTATATATCCTATCTTTTTCAAGTTAAATCTTCATTAAGATTTATTTTTACCTATATGTACATACATTTTCTTAATCATATCTTAATGATTCTAACGACACTCGTGTTGTTGAACGTAAATAGGGTTGATATGAGTAGTGACAATAAGTGATATTCTTATTATAGGTATGGCGCCAGTATCATTCGTTCTTTTCAATGGCTATGAATAGGGCATTCAAAATTAATTAGTGTTATCTCACAGAATTATATGAGTGAATGAAAAAAAAGCGTTTGTTAAGCCATCATGATTAATTGTAACTTGAATAACATAATGACTAATGTGGCGCCATAGCGATACGATATATCTTTTCCCTACGATGTAACGGGTGATGCAGAAAAAATTATATTTATATATAATAACCAACGAATTGTTATATTTGAATATTTCTATTAATTTTCAACACATCATGAAACGTGTTTTCGTCGTCCACAACATGTAGTGCTGTAGAAAAATATTTTTTGGAGAAGTAATCTTATCATTCATGACTAGATATGCAATAGTGATAAACATCGTGTAAAAGAAAAAGCGATTTCCCCGAGTACCTTTTTTATCGTTGACGGACAAACTGTCTCAATTCCGTAGTTTCCTACGCCCCCGATGAAAGAGTTAAAGCACGAACACGACACTTCCGGTGCAACGAACCCGTCGAACTCACTCACAGCTTTATTACGACACCAATATTAGTTTTACGGCGAACCACTGGAAATAGTTCGGTAAGATATACGTCATCGAAGTCTCACGTTCGACAGCCTATATATAGGTGTGATTGTAAGTGCACAAAAAAGAATTTATTGACTGCAGGTGCACGTTGCACCTGCGTTTTCCCATAACCCTCAGCGATATTATCGCGGGAAGCGTTTTCTTTTCCATTTTTTTGATAATATGTGCCTCGAATAATCGCCCGTCAGCTATCAAGGAAAATTCTAATTTACGATAAAAATCGAAGACAATATGATGTTTCAACTTATTTGAAATTTACTGATTTGAAAAAAACATTGTGAGCCAAGGTTAAATTTCTTGTGGTGAATTTTGTTCTCGTCATGGCGTACGACTTATTGACACTTGGTCAAGTGAAGTCAAGAGGATGGGTTAAATGAGACGGAACGTCATCGTATTTCGCCGCTTGCTTATTTTCGATCTGTAAACGATAATTTGAAATATCAACGATGTTTCGCGGAAGGAAAAGCAATTTCGCGAATCACAATTAATATGTCAAAAGCCTAGCCGATTGAAAAACGGATTTATCCTTAAGAATATATGTCCTAACAATTTTCATAGTTTCAATATCCAGATAACCTCGCTAGTTAATTATATGAATTATTAACCATTAATATTAATCATTAAATAAAATTCAGGTAAATTTTTTCGTCATAATTTTGTTTTATCGCTATTATTTTTGTAGACCACGTAAAACTAGAGGTGTGATTTAAATTAATGCTGACAAAAAAGATTGGAGCGGTCCCTTTTCGTATAAATTTCATGGCGTGCGGCTCCTGGCGCGACGTTGCATTATTCATGGTAACTCCCGTACCTTAAGTCACGATAATCCGCCCTTGTCGGTGTTATCGTCGCGGTTACGCTGGCCGCAGTCAGGTGTGCGTCCAGCGGAAGACTTCGTCGGTGCATTGACTGGGAACAAGGGCGAGTTGGCCGGTCGAGATACGAAGCGTGGCGACGTGATTGGACGAAAGACGAAGGAGACCGGCACAAAGGAAAAACAGCGGCCGTGATCGTGTGCACGGATGCACGACCGTGCTCCCTTTGAGCCCTTTCGTGACTCCCGCGAATTATCCCGTGCGCCCGTATCACTGCGAAAAATGATATATCGCAGGTAAATTATGGAGTGGCGTCGAATATCGCTTCGATATTATATCGTGAAAAAAATGGAATAAATTTCTTTTTCTCTGTCTTTTTTCATGACTGGTTATGCACCGCTTCGTAATGGTTTAACGGTACATTTCTTTGTGACTTTGGTGTTTATTTTTTCTTAACAAAAATTTGATAAAAAACAAATAATTTTAAAGATATTTAAGCATCGAGAAGTTCTTGAAAACATATCTTTGCTAATGTAAGTAAAGAGAAATGTTGTGTTTTTGTCAATTTGAACTATATTTGTTATATTACAAAACATAATAATACTTACTTTTAATATATCAAGTGCAATATTTATACAATGAGATATGTTACCCAGTAATAAATTGTAAGAGATCGTTTATGTTGGCTGTGCAAACCTCTACTGTTCTACCAAATTATATCTTCAACACTTGAGAGCAGGCGAAAAGCTTTAATGGATGTTTCGGCACGCGTGTTACGTACATGAAGAACGCACTGTCCAACGATGAGTGCCAGCTTATATTACTGTACTCTGCATTATACACTTTGGAAGATAAATTATCACTCCCGCACAGTTGTGTCGACGCTAAATAGATCAGAAAAATAGAGTATCTAGACTATATTTATAAATAATGATACCACATAGATAAATCAGTGTTATGATGTACAAATAATTTAGACGTAATATTAGTTTACGACAACTTTTTTTGCAATAAAATAAATTTGAAAAAAAACGGGTTTATATAAGAAAATATTAACAACGCAATATTTGCAAAATAAAGTTGAATAAGAACAAAAATTGTTTTAATGCAATTGTGCATCTAAATATTTCTGCTCGCTTTCCAATCAACACTTCAAGTAGATGCATTTAATTGAACTTAAATAGTACGTTAACTTCCGTTCATAAACTATGACTAATCGTAAAGCTAAATTTAAGCCATTGAATTGAGTTATGTAATCGAGTGAGCTTAATTCAATTTAAATAAAACATATTAAGTAGGAAATCCTGAATTATCTGCAATACTTAGTCTAATAAAAACATTATTAATTAATAATAATAATGTTAAGCCAAATTAGCTTTTAATTAAGCCAATTTGGTTTTTTTAAATAAAAGTCTACAATGTATAAGAAAAATACGATTATATGAAGTGTATGACATATTATCTCAACATAAAATTCTGTAAAATAACAAATATATCTGATGAAATGTAATACGATCGGTCGAAGGCTGACCATGACGTAAATCAATACATACGCCAATGCAAAATGTGTTTCGCGGTCGCAATTACGCGTTAATTTGTCTTCCGTTGGAAGGGCATTTGATGAGTCGCAAGTATGATAACTATATGCTTGTTTCCCTATTCCACGAGAGATCACTAGCGTGACATGCTCGATGAGATTAAAGCCGTATCTACGTCGGGCCAGCATAGAAGAGGATGCTTTGTCGCTCTTCCACAGTCTACAAACCGGATGCGAGCATTCCACGCACGGCGGCTGTGTGTCGCTAATAATCGCGCGCGTGTTGGTAGTAACGGGGGACTTAAAGTTAGTCGAGTTGTTCTCGTTTAAAACAATCAGCAGAAGAGGAAGGACCAATTATACGGACCTGCGACCGTCTGTCACCGACCTTCTGCTTCCCTTAGTGTGCCGGATCATGCCACAAGTATAGGTAATCAAAACAACATGCTTAAATGTACGTAAATAATCCATCAATCCCGTTTCTTCAGAAGAAAAGAAATGGAAACTAAAAGATTGTCGACTAAATTGAAACGGTTACGAGCAATTTAGTAATAGAGCGAATAACAATAAATGTCGAACGAGGAATGCAAAATTCGAGAAAATAAGTTACATTTTATAATCGATTTAATAAAAGGAGTTTCAAGTTTTTATAATGAATTTTATTAATTCTAAATTAAGAATTGGTTCTAGAAAATCCAAAATTACGATTTATTTTTTATGATACTTGGAAATGTTGAATCTTTTCGCATTGCAGTTAACGAGTTAATAACAATCTGCAGTATATTTTCAAATTCGCTCAATATTAGACACAATTGATTTAAAGTGCATGTGCATCATAAATGATCCTTTATCTAGTTTGCTAATTGTATGAACAATTCAACTGAACAACTGTGCCGAGTTAGCTTTGAACGTCCATTTTACGAAAGTTGCTAGATTGTTAGATTGTTACATCAAGTGTGTACAAAGCAGCATTATATTATGTCTGTATAATTGTTTGCCGTTGATAACATAGCGTTTCTTCAGCGAAACGCCGCTTTCACGCATCTTGTGAAAAGAAACTATTCTGGCATGCATATGTAATTGTTTTTTATTGCACGCTAATGAATTGAAGATCGAAAATGCGATGGTGCTAATGTTTGCGCATAATAAGATACGCAGCAGGTAAAATAACAGAATTTCCTGGTAGGCGTTAATGTTTCCATTTCCTTGTGCTTCGCGTTTCGTATTAGTGTTTCTCTATTTTTTTTTACAATATTTGCTCATTATGACAAGAATTGCTACATCCTTGCGAAAGCTTTCTTTGTAATAAAATACTTTGGGAATATTTCTCGGGAAGAATACTTCACCGTAAAAGTTGAAAGGGGCGGCACTTTCTTCGCAAAAGGGAGACACTCCGTCGCAGCTGTCTTATTCTTTTAAAAACGCGAAGCCGGCACGCGACACCATGTCCGTTCCGCCTTTCGAGAGGCGACAGGATGTAAACTCGAAAACGATCCATATCCCGTCGGTCCACTACACACAGCTTGTCCCATTCATATTTAAAAAAAAAATAATGGAAGTGAACCAACTGTCTCTGGCATTTCCATTGGTCACGGATTACTCTTGGCGGTGTGTTGCATAAACAGCTGCATTCTCTTTGTCGATCGATGACTTATTAATTTCCAGAAAAAATATCAACGGAACTTTCTCTCGGATTTTATGAAAAATTTTGCAAGAATTTACCAAGAGTAAAGAAGGGAATTAAAATCGCGTGAGCGAGAGAAATCTTTGAGGAA